CGTCACAGAGCACCGAGCTGATCTCCCTGTGCTATACAGCAGGTTCCCACTAGCTGTCTATTTTACACATCCCACCATCCCATTCCCCCACTGTGTCCGCAAGTCCATTCTCTACGTCTGCGTCTCTATTCCTGCTCTGCCGATAAGTTCATCTGTACCATTTTTCTAGATTCCACATATATGTGTTAATATACGATATTTGTTTTTCTCTTTCTGACTTCACTCTATATGACAGATTCTAGGTCCATCCACATCTCTACAAGTGACCCAATTTCGTTCCTTTTTATGGCTGAGTAATATTCCATTGTATATATGTACCACATCTTCCTTATCCATTCATCTGTCAATGGACATTTAGGTTGTTTCCATGTCCTGGCTAATGTAAATAGTGCTGCAATGAACATTTCATTAGGGGCTTCATCATCTCAGAGTCCTTAACATCCAGGCTTGTGGACCAGGAAGACAGTATGAAAGATGGGATGGGACATTTCAGAGATAAGTCCTAGAAATGTACATATCATTTTCACACATGTTCCACTGGACGTAATCTAGTCTCATGGTCCTAATCTAACTGCCAAGGATGCTGGCAAATATAGTCTTCCTGTGAGTCCTGGAAGAGGAAGCTATACTGATGAACACCCAAACAGTCTCTGCCACAGAGATTATAAAGAGATATTACACACAGAATTTCTTTCCCTTGCATATTCCACATCAAAAGTACAACTCTAATTCTGGTCACCAAATTCTAGTATTATTTCAGTATCTCTGCTGTCACTTTGGATCTAAGGAAAAAGGAACCTGTAGCCTTTTAAAATTTTACTTATTGTTAAGAAGAGAAAATTCTGTAGTAGTCTTCATAGTGCTGATTTAAAGCAAATCCCTCATTTAAAGCCAAAACAAGAGAGCAATGACAAAAGAAAAACTTTAAGACTTTTTTATAAAGCAGTTTTAGGTTCACAGCAAAATTGGTGGAAGGTATAGATTTCTAATATACCTCCTGCCCCACACATAACATAACCTCCCCCATTGTCAATATTCCCCACCAGAGTGATATATTTGTTATAATTGATGAACCTACATTGATACATCAGAATCACCTGAAGTCCATAATGTACATTACAGTTCATTCTTGGGTTTGGACAAATGTATGATGACATATATCCATCATTATGGTACCATTCACAGTATTTTCACTGCCCTAAAAATCCTCTGTGTTCTGCCTATTCATTCCTCTCCCCTGCCAACCCCTGATCTTTGTACTGTCTCCACTGTTCTGCCTTTTCCAGTCTGTCATATAGTTGGGATCATATAGTATGTAGCCTTCTTAGATTGGCTTCTTTCACTTAGAAATATGCATTTAATGTTTCTCCATGTCTTTCCATGACTTGATAGCTCATTTCTTTTTAGCACTGAATAATATTTCATTATCTGGATATACCACAGTTTATTTATCCATTCACCTACTGAAGGACATCTTAGTTGCTTTCAACTTTTGGCAATTATTTATTTGTTTATTTATTTTTGGCTGCATTGGGTCTTCGTTGCTGTGCACGGGCTATCTCTAGTTGCGGTGAGTAGGGGCTACTCTTCGTTGTGGTGCGTGGGCTTCTCGTTGCGGTGGCTTCTCTTGCTGTGGAGCACGGGCTCTAGGCACGTGGGCTTCAGTAGTCAGGGCACATGGGCTCAGTAGTTGTGGCCTGCGGGCTCTAGAGCGCAGGCTCAGCAGCTGTGGCACACGGGCTTAGTTGCTCCGTGGCATGTGGGATCTTCCCAGAACAGGGATCAAACCCATGTTCCCCCTGCATTGGCAGGTGGATTCTTAACCACTGCGCCACCAGGGAAGTCCCCAACTTTTGGCAATTATGAGTAAAGTTGCTGTAAACATCTGTGTGCAGGTTTTTGTGTGGACATGTTTTCAACACCTCTGGGTAAATATCAAGGAGCTTGATAGCTGGATCAAATGATAAGAGTATGTTTAGTTTTGTGAATAAAAAAAAACAAACGGCCAAACTGTCTTCCAAAGTGCCTGTACCATTTTGCATTCCCATCAGCAATGAACGAGAGTTCCTGTTTCTTCAGTCCTCTCCAGCATTTGGTGTTATCAGTGTTCCAGATATTGGCCATTCTAATAGGTGTGTAGTGGCCTCTCATTGTTTTAATTTTGTTTTCCTGTTGACATAGATGTGGAGCATCCTTTCATATGCTTATTTATCATCTGTATATCTTCTTTGGTGAGGTGTCTGTTAAGGCCTTTGGCCCATTTTTTAAATCAGGTTGTTTTCTTATTGTGGAGTTTTTAGAGTTTTGTATATTTCAAATAACAGTCCAGTTCAGATACGACTTTTGCAAATATTTTCTCCCAGTCTCTGCTAAGGAGATAGGTTCCTAGAGACAACTGTTACAGGGGTTTTCTTATCACCAGAGTAGGGGATACTAGGGCACAATTGGAACGTTAGTTCCAGATTCCCCAGTTTCTGGATTGCAGCAGAGAAAGCTGTTCCCTTGGCAGACCAGTTTTGCAAAGTTGTTCGGGGAGTCTTCCTGGTAGCCCAGTCTGGAGCCTCCTCCTTCATCTTTCCATTAAGTTTGTAAAGCACTTAATTCCTCAGATTAAGCTTCTTGCTGCTTAAAATAGCTAGAGGGCTTTCTGTTTATGAGACTGAATCACAATTGGTATGACTGTTAGGTGAAAAATGCAGGCCACTGAACACTCTGTCACTTCCTGATGGCAAAGCTAACCCAGGTTTTTATGCCTTTCCCTGCCCAATTCTGTTGAAAGTAAAGAAAAATGAGGAGGAGAAGGTGGAAGAGTGGAGGAAGAAGAAAAGTAGTTGATAGCTGCACCATTAAGTAGGGCATAGTGCCATCATTGGAACAAAAACTTTTTGAAAATTCTGAAAGATATTAAGCCAATGAGATCAAATTGAGGGACATTAATGATAGTGATGCCAAATACTCAATGCAAACAAAATAGGGCTCCCAAAAGCTCTCTGGAGTGACTCTAAGTTCTGAATATCTGGGCCAGTAGAAGGAAAATTGAAGACCTTCAGTCTGAAAACTGAGAGGGCCCTAGACTTGGATTACTGTTCTTGACATTCTCCTCTAGGCTTAATTTTGCTTGGATTACTTGTTATATAAAGTGAGTGGTCTTACTGGACATGTTTCTAATATGTGAAATAAGGACACAGTGTTTTAAAATAGACCCAGGATTTTGTATATATTCAGGTATGGTGAAGCCAACATATCAGGAGATAATTGCCATTATTATTCACAGGTCTCAAGAGTAGGGGGCATGCCCCACAATGCAGGGCCACACAGGGAAGCACCAGTTGGTCAAGAGGCAGGAGGAGGGAGAGGCTAAGGTGGATATGAGCCTTTATGTAGTTTCTGCGGGAAAGACGAGCTAGGCAGGGTAAGCAGACTTAGGATTGGCTAGTTGGAAAAAATTTGGCAGGCTCTGGACTGTAGTGTCTATCTCTAATTGTCTGGTACCAAGCCCAGGGGATGATTTGGGCAGGGGGATAGTGGCTCAGCTCAGTAAAGGAGGTAGTTGAGGGGCTGGGCTCTGGATTGGTTGGTTTGCATTTGAGGACTGTGCTCTCTGGTAGTGTTTGCTATCTTTGGGAACTAGCTAGCTCAGAGAGGGGCAGTCTCTCTAGGATCAGGAAGACCCCAGATGCCAGAGCTGAATATAGTAAGTCCCCTACATACAAACCTTCAAGTTGAGAATTTTCAAAGATGCCAAAGTGCCCCTGTATGCCAGCTGTTGTACTGCACTACTGTACTTTTCAAGGTACTGTACCGTAAGATCAAAAACGTTTTATTTTTTGTGTTTTTTATGTATTATTTGTGTGAAAAGTATTATAAACTTATTGCTGTACAGTACTATATAACCGATTGTGTTAGTTGGATACCTAGGCTAACTTTGTTGGACTTACAAACAAATTGGATTTAATGAATGTGTTCTCAGAATGGAACTCGTTCGTATGTAGAGGACTTACTGTACAGAAAACAAGAAAATATAGTTAATACACAGAGAAAGAAGGGGAGTAAGTACTTCCAGGTACTTAGAGATACACAGTCAGTAACTTTTAACATACTTGCAGATATGTCAGAACCATTTGGATTTGCTTCATAAACTCAAGTATTCAACAGCTAAATCAAAGTATATAAATTTTGAGATTTGTTTAACAAAGTTTTAAGGTTCTCTACAGATGAATAACTAGGTAACATTTATAAAAGGCTCATGGTGTGCTAGACACTGCCCTAAGAAATGTACATGTTTACACTTAGTCCCGAACAATCCCATGCAAGCAGATTTTAGTTTTATTCACATTTGGGGGAAACTGAAGCTTGGAAGGATTAAATAACTTGCCCAAGTCCACGCTGCTGGTAAGTGGGAGCTGGCACTTAAACCCAGTTCAGTCTGACCTTAGAGTCCATACTCAATCACTCTTTCTCTACCACCTCTCTACCTGCAATACATTTATAACAATTAATTGCATATATTCACAAAGGCTTTGAACTGAAAGTCAGCTTAGCATGATAGTTAAGAGCATGTCAGTGGGGATAGTAATAGTGCTAACTTCATAAAGTTTTTGCAAGGATTAAATTAGTTAACTCACTTAAAACAGCACCTAGCAACATAGTAAGCCCTCAATAAATGTTAGTTATTATGTATACTCTCCCTTTATTTATTTAAGCCGTATATGAGAATTTGTTGGCCCAATGTCTAAATAAACTCTCTATAGCTATGATTGACTTAGTCTTAAGCAAAAATTAAGTCAGTAGCTAATTTCTTATACTTTACAATACCCATGATAAAGCAAATACCCATATAAAAAGAGAAACTGGCATTGTAAAGCCGTTAATAGTTACTCTTTAAAGTGTTTGATATGTACTAGCATTACATTCATTGCTCTAAATTATTACTGTATATGGGGATGGGCTTAAGAATATAACAATATTGTTATGTAATTTAATTTCTTTTTCTTAACTAGAGAAAAGCGGTTAAAGGAATGGAAAGCTCTTAAGAAAAAACAAAAATTTGGGGAATTAAGAGAAATTTCTGGAAATCAGTATGTGAACGAAGTCACAAATGCAGAAAAGGATGTGTGGGTTATAATTCACCTATACAGATCAAGGTAATTACCACAGCTTTTTGCAAAAGGCTAATATACTAATTTTTAATATACATATTTCTGGTTTTAATGTTGTATAAAGCATATAACAAAGATTAATCAAGAAAAATAAAGTAAATCAACCATACTTCAATTAAAAAAAGAAAAATATGGGCTTCCCTGGTGGCGCAGTGGTTAAGAATCTGCCTGCCAGTGTGGGGGACATGGGTTCGAGCCCTGGTCCGGGAAGATCCCACACGCCGCGAAGCAACTAAGCCCGTGTGCCACAACTACTGAAGCCCGCATGCCTAGAGCCCATGCTCTGCAACAAGAGAAGCCACCGCAATGAGAAGCCCAGGCACCACAACGAAGAGTAGCCCCCGCTTGCCACAACTAGAGAAAGCCCGCACGCAGCAACGAGGACCCAACACAGCCAAAAATAAACAAAGAAAAATATATGAGTAGAGTCATTGGCTTCAGGGATTAAATTAGGTATTTTAATATATTTTCACGTCTAATTTAAAGAACTTGTTATACTTCTTAGAAAAATAAGTACTCTTTGACAGTTAATTAAAAAAAACTTATAGAAAATTTCAAACATACAGAAAAGTAAAAAGAATGATAAAATGAGCACCCTAAATACCAGCCAGGTAGATTCAACAATGAACATTTTGCCATATTTGTATCATTTTGTTTATATGTGTATGTGTGTGTATCTGTAGAACCATTTCAAAATAAATTACGCGATGCTTTACTCTGAAGTACCTCAGCATGCATCTTCAAAATATAAGGGCATTTTTCTATATAACCATTTTCTCACCTAATACCCAGGCAGTCCTTACTCAAATTTCTCCAACTGACGTCAAAATCTCTTTCATAAATACATATATATATATATATATATATTTTTTTTTTTTTTTTTTTTTTTTTTTT